GCCTCCTGAACGACAGCGTGTCCTTTCTCTGCCCAGAGTGCTACAGGTTCCCCCTCTCCCTCGGCCTTCATCCTCTTAGCGTCCCAACCTCCGGCTCAGCCCAGGTGATGCCGACTCTACTTGTCCTTCAGAGCCATGGATCATCACCTCCTCCAGGAAGTCCTCCCTGACTTCCCCAGTGCAGCTCCACAGGCCACCAGGGTAGTCTATGATGAGTTCCTGTCCAGACCAAACGTCTCACCAGGACAGGGGCTATAACTGATTTTGCTCATCACTGGGGAGCAACTAACAGACCCTGCACAAGCAGCTGGTTTGAGGGTTAACCTCAGGCCTCTTCTCACCGGGGCTCTTAAACTTCATGTGGTCCCTCCGGGCACAGGGAGAATGCAGAAGACCCTGGGTCACCCGGCAGGTGTCCTCCTAAGTATGGCACTGCCAGTTTGCACGCCGAGACTCTCCTAGACTCATCCACCCAGCTCGCATCTCCATGTACAGTCACCTGTCCCACAACACAGGTGTCCCTTGCTCTCTCATCCTAACCCAGCCACCAGGCCCAGGGTCCCCGATGGGTCTGCACAGTCCACCGGCTCCCGACAGCAAATGTGACAGGTACTCAGCACTGGTCACTACATCACTTGACCTCTGTCTGCCTCTGTCTCTTTCTCAGTGGCCGCTGGTGACCCTTGGTGAAGGTTGCCGTGACACAGAAGCATCTGGGCAGAGGCCCACCACATCCATACTGACCAACCACGGCGCAGCCTCCTGGGTCCAGCCTCTCTCTCCAACTCAGCACCCACCCCAAAATGCTGGGAGGCTGGCGCTGTGGTGCCTGGAATTCACATGGTCACAGAGAAAGTGCAGCAGACTCCAGTGCAATGTAAGACCTCACGCCCTGGAGCCACCAAGATCACCTCCATGAGTGGAACAGAGCTGTCTTCACGAAGCCACAGCCGTCAGATGCAAAGCTACACACCAGCTTCATCGTGAGGGTGGGGTTGGGGGGGGCAGGAAGCCAGTGCCGCTCCCGGAAAGAAAGGACAAGCCTGCAGAGCCGGGTCTGTCCTCACCTGCAGACCTCCCAAACCCTTTCCTCTCTCCCTCCGCCCCCTCCGGGGCCCTGGCCCAGGTCATCACGGCTGCTCTCTGAGCCTACATCCGGAGGTCTCACTTCCACAACCCTGATCCTTTCCAGCTAGGGGATCCCAGGCAGATGGACTCCTAATCTCTCCGGGCCTGAGCGCCCACACCCAGGCCAGCTGGCTCTGACGCTTAGTTAGGCGTCAATAACCACCACCCGCACCACCGCCCTGGGCCCTGGAGGGCTTGACATCTGGCAGGTGTCACGTACTAATTCACACCTTCAGAAGCTCCGGACTGGAGTTCTGCCTCTCTGGGCTCCCAAGACCCTGGAGCAGAGAACTCAGAGAATCAGCTCAGAATTATCTCTGCACACAACTCCTCTGACACCCCCAGCCCTGAGACACCACACAGAGCAGATGCTGACGAGGGGAGAGGGGAGCGGAGGGGCTGACCTGCTGACGAACACGGAACAAACTGGGCCTGGCCGCATGGTAGCAAGACTCTGACACCCAAGTCCTGCAAAGTTCAAGTCCAAGTGCCGTGAGGGGAGGCCTGGGGGTGAGCTGTACTTAAAATAAGCAGAAAGCACACAGTTTCCCAGAAACGGTAAAATCGGGACAGGGCACAGCACAGTCCCACCGCGGTAGCTTGAGGCCATGACCCCAGAGGTGGAGACCAGCGCTCCGCGTCCACCCTCCAATCCCGCCTCTGCCTCCGAGGGTAGTTCAGGAGACAGCCCTGCGCCTCCACAGAGCCATTCTGGATTCATCAAGGGTAATGCCGGCTGGCTCCAAGGAAACATTAATTTCACACATAACACTCTGTTTCTACAGCTAAACGTCAGGCAGAAAGGCAGTGTTTGCTTCCAAGCAAGTCCCCTTCCACATCTCCACGGCAGGGAGGAAACCCAGCTGGTGGAGGGGACGCACAGATGTTCCCAGCGCTGCGGCCACGGGCCTCTCTCCCAACCAGCTCGAGCCCTGCGGTTCCTTCTGGCGGATGCTCTAAAACACCATTTTAAAAAGTCTATTCCTCTCGTCAAATGTGTGTGTTTTTTAATTATGAAAAACACTGGACATGGTAACGCAAACACGATCTCAGCTCATGGGGACCCCATCCACAGAGCGCACTTTCCCAGGTCTCAGTACCTGGGCAAATTGGGTTAGATAAAATTTTTAGAAGGCCCTGCTCAGCAAATTGCCCTCAAGTTAGTTTCATCCTGGTTGTGGCTTTTGGACACGGTGCTTTCAAGCGGAGGTGACACAAAGTGCAGAGTCCTGGCTAAAATCTTTGGCCCCATGGCTGCCAGCTGAGAACTGGAGGGCACAGGGCACCTCTGAGACTCTTCGTGGGCCAGGAAAACAATGCTGAGAAATGACGTAGGAAAATGGTTTTACTGTGCTCTGGGTTCCAGCTCTCACTCCTGTTCTGAGTTTTGCCCAGGCCAGGTGAGACTCCTACAGCATCACGTCTCCCCCAGCCACAGGACAGTCTGCTTTTCAGGGGAAATGCCTGTCCCCCTGGACGTCCCCTTCCAGAGGAGGGGGGTATGGAAGGTGTGCAGTGGCTCAGCATTCCCTCGCCGTCTGCCTTCCTTCACCGCAGACGCTGAGACTGCTGACGGCACTGAGGGACTCGGGGCTTCCGCCTGCTAGGTGTCCGCTAAGAGCCGGGCGATGCCCTGCTCTCCACGCATCATCCACGCGTCACCCCCGCCCTGCCGTTTCCCGGTGGCCAGAGGAGAGATCCACCTCTGGTTCTGGACTTCCTACCCCCCAACAAAGAAAAACCAGCACCCCCACTCCCATGTCCCCCTCCCAGCATTCACCTGCGAGGAGCCAGGATACAGCCCACTCAGCAACCTAACCCAGCCACTGCCCCAGGGAGCAAAGCCAGGTGGGCTCCTTGGACAGGCTCCCCCCACTCCAGTATCCCAGCCCCTCTGGTCCAAGCCCCCTCCTCACTCTCTCCACGGGAGCCACCTGGCCCTCAGGCTCTGTACTCAGAATGGGGGAGGGTGGGCTAGATACCAGTGAGTCCTGAGGCACTGGTCCCACCTGGGGGGCTGGTCTGCACCCCTCAGTGTCTCTCTCTCCCCCTTCATGAAGCTAAAACAACAAAGGGACTCCAGTAAGCTGCTGGACCAACCACCCGGCAGGCGGGGCTGGGCTTGGTTAGGGACCTGGCTCCCCTGGGTGGCTCTTCGCGTCAATCTGTTCCTCTGAGTTACTGGCTTCGATTACCTTTCACCCCATAAATTACAGCTTACCACATGGGACATGGTTTGGTCTCCAGTACTGGGGTGTAGTGAGGGGCTGAACCCAGCTGCACGTCTGGGGTCTGCCGCCTCTCTCAAGATGCTGGTGGAGGGGGCCCCTTTGGGCTCTCGTAGGGAGGGGGCACCTGCTACCTTCCATGAAGCACCCCCTCAGCACCCAGGTTGTCCCCCGCTGGCCAGCGGACCCAGGAAGCCAGCTCTGCACCCCCTCCCCTTCCCAGGGTTTCTAGTCTGGCTAGAAAATGTCAGAAATGGCCAAACCCCAGAGACGTGGCGTCTGTGCAGGCAGCCCAGCCAGCTGGGGGCGAGGGGGGGTGGAAGAGCCCGGCTCTGGGACAATCTAGCCCATCAGGCGCAGCCCCCACCCAACACGCTCACCCACCCACCTCTCCCTCCTCCAGCAGAACCCTCACCAACGAGGAGCCCAGAGGGCTGGGCAGAGAACGGGGTGAAAGTGCCACCCAGCCCGGGGGTTCACCCCTTTCCTGGCGAGGAAAGCACCCAGGTGGGTGTCCCACCCTTCCACTCCCAGAGCACACAGGGTTCCCGGCCCTGTGCTGCCGCCTCAGAACTTTGGGGAGCAGTGGTCAAGAATGGGAGTTAGGAGACAGCAATTGGGGAGACCCCATGAACAGCGATGGAAGGGAGTGAGCAGAGATTGTCCCCTCTCCTCCCCATACAACCAGCCCCCCCCACACACACAGCTGCCATCTCCCTGCACCGCCCCTTCTCTCCAAACATATGACCCAGGGGGGCTGCCTGGAGGGGACCCAGCGTGACCATCAGTCACCTTTGCAGGAAGCGGGGGAGAGGCCAGACAGAAGGCGCCCCAGGGGAGGGTATGAGAGTGTCCCCCAGCCCTGAGACACAACAGCAGAGGGTGGGGCAGGATCCAGGGGGGGCAGGGGCCACCTGGTGGAAGGCGGTGCGGGGGACCCTAACAGAGGTGGCCCTGCGGGGACGGGGGTGTCCTGCTGAACTTCCAGATGTTGAGGGGCCAAAGTGGCAGGGGCGGCGGAGGGGCGGCACAGGGCGGGGGTGATGCCCAGGCTGCGGGTACACAGATGCCCGGGCGTCCAGGTGCATCTCTGATGGGACCCCAAGGTAGCGGCGGGTCACAGGGGGGTTCTCGGGAGAGGGGGGCCCCAGAATCGATGCGAAGCTGACCGGGTAAGTCTGGAGCCCGCGGGGGCGCCGCGAGCAGTGCGGAGCAGACGGGGGTGCGGAGGGTCCTAGAGCCAAAAATCCCAGGCGCGCCCTGAGCGCCCGGACAGGGTGCAGTCTGAAGGCGACGGGGGCGCAAGGCCGAGTTGGGGGAGAATCCTAAACGGCCCAGGGGCGCCCAGAGGTTGGTGAGATCCCAACCCCCATAGCCCGGGATCTGGAGTCCATTAGGGGCGCCCCCGAGGTGGCTCCGGGTCCCAGGAATCTGGGGCAACGTCCCCGAGGTGGCCCGGGGCGCTTGCATATCTGGGGACCTCTCCTCGAGTAACCGGTGGCCAGAGGCCAGCGGGGGGGCTACGGGGTGACCCGCGTCCCCAAGTCGCC